TGGATTGTGTTCACTATAGGTGGTTTGTAATCATTCCTAAGGGAATAAGAATGGCAGCCATGTTGGATTGTGTTCACTATAGGTGGTTTGTAATCGGGGCGGCACGTGATGGTGCAAAGCCTCAGTATAGACAGTGACAGTGTTAAGAAGTATTAATTCTCTAAGGTTCAACCTAATTGAAACAATGGATGACAAGACGGTCTTCTTTGATGATTAGGTTCGGCTCATGTGAAGTTCGACGTTTGACCCAAACCTTCCGTGTTTTTTTTTTCAAATGATAAACAAAGCCCGAAGTATTTTTTTAGTAACTGGTTTAGAATCAATGTATCTGCGTGCGCACATTTTAATGGGCCCACAGCTCATCATCAATTCATTTCACATCGCCCCAAGCTCATTGTTTTTGATCTTTTCAGTTGCAAACTGAAAAGCTAATTAATTATTATCTAATGATCTTTGATAATTTTTACCGTTTAAAAGATAATTAGTCAAGATATTGTCTAGAATCGGGATAACGTGACTCTTAGCAACAATGCTATGAAAATCTTAATTACACTTAGATGAAAACGATACAAAACAGAATCTGAACCCAATGTTCTATCCAAATCAATTCTCATCCGACAAAGTTTGACGCCTGCTTGTATACAAAGACCATCCAAAATGACAAATTTCTGGTACAAGATAGCAAAGTTGAAATTTTTATGCCAAATTTAATGTCAAACCCGGTCAAGATGATTATCACTTCAGGAAAATACGTGCTTGTTCTCATACAGCCAGATCACGTAACGCTAAAAAATGGCCCAAGGTCGGGAAACTGGCTATAACAATTGAACTAACAAAACTAACCCTTTAAATTTTGCGAACGATAAATTTATGGATGTTGCGATAATTGTGAGAATTATTTTGTCAATATTTATTTATGTAAGTCTCTAATTAGGCAGGTTTTTCGAGTCGCTTGCCTTGATACCAACAAGATCATCCTCCAACGCCTGCACAATTAAAATTAGATCAGTTTTAATTTAGTATGGCGTTAAGCGACAAGTAGGTTTATCACACATACAGGACCTCTTGGTTGGTATCAGCTTAAGATGCATAGCCTGCGGATAAATTTTCGAGGTAAGTAAGCGAAGATACGAAGTGTGCACCATTATTTCTAGGGCCCTATGGACCATTTTCGTCATTTTCGAGTGATCTGAAATAATCCCTTCTCTCGAGGGTAAAGACGTTTAATCTACACTTCAGAAAAGCTTCAGGCTGTAGTCACGATGACCCTCTTAGGGAGTTGTGAACGCACAAACTGCATTCTAGGTTCACAGATCAATTAACCCCGAATTTATGAATGAATTTCCTTCCGTGACCGCAACCCCTTCGAGTCCTTCGCCTAAAAGGTGGGTTCGTACCACATCTGGGTTTGAAAGATTCTTTTTGTGGCATCTGTGTTTCATTGTGTACGTCTGTGAAGGTAATATTTTAGTACTATTCAATGTCATTTAATTGAAACAATAAGGAAAGACAGAGGAAGAGCCTTCTTAGACGCCGACAAAACTAAAAGTATGGCTTTCTCGACCTCTACAGAATGTTCATGCACAACGAGTCCATGCTACGGTTCGCACTGAAGTATTAAATAACAGTTAAGTTTTTTTTCCTTAAAAAATTAAAATCAAATAGATATAGCTGTAATACCAATTACCTTCAAAAGAATGATCTTACCAGCAAATTACATTTTTATCGACCATTTATAAATTAAAATCTTAAGGGGGCTCAGTTTAGATTTCTTTAAAGGCACAAGCAACAGAAACTCATTACATCGAAATAGTTTAACATAGATAGATATCGAGTGTATTTCATATTTAGGTTTTGGTTGTAAATATTCTGAAAACTTCAGAAATTATCCACATAGCCTCGGGTCCATAGTTTTCGGTTTTAAAATTTCATGTCTTGATTTTCTTTCATGGTGTCATCAAAATGTGTAACTTCTGTACATACATGTGTACGTGTACTGATAGATGAAATATCCATTTTTTTCAGTGGCAGAAATGATTAAAAAAAAAAACGAACAGAAAATCCCTAAAACTTTAATTAAGGAAACTGCTTTAACAAGAAGTTCATTTGAATATTAGTCTCCGATAAACTTCGGCGCGATTGAATCAGTGAATCGACAATCAAATATCACCGACAACCGGTAAATTTAACCGTATAAGCAAATAGAACTCTCCAAGCCCAGAGATTAATGAATCGAGGAAAGCTAGATTAGAAAAGTTCCTACGGATGTATTTATAGCGATAGAAAATTTTTTCGAGCTTTTCATTTAACCTATGACCATAAACTAGAAAAAAAGAAATTTTTTTCAAGGCTCCCTGCTGATATAACTTTAGTGGACACTTCTCAGTTCAGCTTACAATAGATAAAAGATAGAGAAGGATCAATGCAAGAATTTGAAGGTGAGTTGATTTGATTATGCATAACCCTATGCGAGTTTTTCACAATTAGACTTCAAAGATAAATAGAAATCTCTCGAATCTAAGAAATAGAAATTAGTCCCTATAAAGTCATTGTCGTCGCGAAGTTTCTTAGCCAGACTTTGGAGGTCGTTGGGTCATGGCGTAAGAATCGCTTCTATCTTAAGGTGAGTATTAGCTTGATTTAAAAAGGCTTTTTTTTGATTTCGTGACTGAAGTCGGAAGTTTCACCGGTTTTTTTCCCCATTCAATGTAATAGAGAAATGATAAGTAACTATAGCTTCCTTTATTTTCCGGATCAATCCGCAAAGCTTTGAAATCAAGCGCGTGTTGGGAACTACAATGGTAGCAAGCGGTTTAAATTACGAAGGTTTTGCGTACAAAATCGCTCAGATTTACTTTCAGAAAACCGGTTAGTTGAGAAAGGAAATCGTTAGTCTGAGAGCGCATAGTTTTTATTCTTCCAAAACATGTTCCCTCTCAGACTTCGTTAATAATCATTAATTTATCACCGTAAGACAATCAACTTCTTGAAGTAGGCAATGCATCAAGTAAAATAGACGAATTTCAGTTATTTTTATACTGATTTAATGAGGAAAAAAAACACTCTTATTTATATTGGTTTATATCTACTCCTAAATTAACGTCATAAAAATGTGAAATGCATCCGAAAGATGGCTGAAGACTTAAACAAGCTTACGCGCGCGAAAAAATAATTTTGTCATCCAAACGCAGGAACATTCTTTTATTTTCATTTAGTTCCAATTTATTTAACTGTATTTTTCAAGCTTTGAATCTGAATTTCCCTCTTTCGGTAAGTGTCGAAAGATCGTCTTATTAACAGCTGTTGGTTATTGGTTTCAATCAGGGCGATATCTTAATAAGATTCCTTTATACCGTGTAAGAAAAGATCTCTTAAACACAACTATATAAGGCTAGTCTCGGCTGTGGTGATGTTCAAGGATCACCACCAACGGAACCACCAATTAACTTCCTCAATATCTCAAAATCAATAGAATTTTCTCGGCTAAAAGGAATAGAACTAAAAGAAATTTAAACGATCTTTATCTGACTTACTTTTTTTCGGAATTACTAAACGTAAATTAGACAATTTGCCAGACAAATCGGTTCGGGAAGTCGTAAATGTACGGTGAATTGCCGGCTTATGGAATTATTTTTTGAGAAAGCACCGGCCGTCTTTTCCTCGGATCGGAAATCTTTATGGTTTTATTTTTATCGAGAGATATGGCGTTGACAACAAAGAGATAAAACTAAACCTGTTAAAATACGTTGTGTGACATCGCGAAAAACCAAGGTTAAGGCCAATGGACAGAAAGTAGACATCAAACGACCATTCGTATCTAAGCCTTGCCTCTCTTTTCGTTTCGTTTGAGAAATGAACTTTTTAATCCAAAATTTATTACTGCAGCTTTTGAAAAACATTAATTTTCACTTAGAATGAATACCATATATCCGAGAAAAACTTTTTAAGAAATTGCACAAATTAGGAAGTTCAGTAGACCTGAGTAGACCGTAGACCGTAGACCGTAGACCGTAGACCGTAGACTTTGCACTAATTTGTACAATTTTGTTAGTTAACTTTTGCACGGATATATGGTATGTACTCGACTCTCAGACATTTGTAAGCCAGTTTATGTCATAAAAATATTTTAAGTCATGTAGAGATTGGCTGTTAGAGATTAAAGGTGATATAGGCTGATGATATAGCGATAAGGACACTTTAAAAGCTGTGTGGGCTCACGTCACACTATACGATGTCCTATCGATTTACGTAACTTTAACGCTCGAGATCTATTTAGCTAGCTTGTTACGCTTTGTGAATTTTTTTCAATAGTTTGCTGACGGATTTGTATCACACTTGGCATAATCATCATAGCTCAGTGCGCCGAAATCTTCATTTCAAAAGATTTGAATTCAGATACTTTTTCGATTGTTTTCGTTAGTCCTACTGTGTTCGCATTAGGGTTTCTAGGATATAAGTATATTATGTCGCCTCAGAGACGATGATTGGATTTCGATTGAATCATTTTTTATACAGACAGTATAGCACTTCTCGGCAATACTTCAGGGCTTTAGCATCTAGTCTGTAAGTTGTTTAAAGGAGTACTTATAAACAAGGTTTGTTAATTAGGTTAATTCTGTTTTTAGGCTTAACTTCGAGATCCATCCATGCATCCATCATACAATCCAACTATCTAATCCCATCCCATCTATTCATCCATCCATCCGTTCCATTCAATCCAATTGCAATCATCCGCCGCCCATATTATCCATCCGTACTAGTTCCCTCCAGTCATCGATCCACTTAATCCATCCATTTTTCCACCGATCCCGTTCATTCAATCATTCTGTACTTCAAGCTCATCTCTTCATGTCCAGTACTTTCAACATAATGTTTAGAATATGAGTGGTGGTTTTGTATCGGTAGATATAGATCCGAGCCGATACATCTCAGATACAAAGCGACCACGAATTTTCTAAATTGCTTCTAAAACTCAGTGTTCTATATGTTCCAGTTGAATAGGAAAGAGTTCTCTAAACGTTCCAGTTTGTTGACCAAGAGTTCTCTATGTGTTCCGGTTCAGTGAGCACTTATTCATCAGCACGATCAGCCCCGATTTCCCCTGGGTCCGAAATCAAAACCGCCCCCGGGCTTTTTACATTGTCGAGTTTCTTTATCGGGTATAAAGATCCATGCACGTGATGGATTTGAAGGACCTGATAGGTCTAAATGCTCATTGATTATTCATGCGTTTTAGAACGTTTTCTATTCACTACACATCCTTGGCTATGATGTCAACGGGAATCACTATCCTAGATGCGGCATCATTCTGTCGCCAGTACAAGGGACTGAAATCAAATTCCGAAAAATCTTAGGATCCCATCAGCTTGGAGTACAAAACAAACAACTGATTTTTCTTAGAAAAGAAATCAGATTAGTAATAAAAGCCTCAGACGGGTTGTCATGGCAACTAGATGTTATAATTAAGGAGCTCTTAGTGGCGAATTAAACTGACTGCAAAATAAAGTACTCCAGATTAACATATATAGTTCAAGTGTCGTCAGGGTTAAAGGATTTAGTAGTTTAGTATACGTACTAGTCGTTGCCTTGGCAATTTTAAGGTGGCTCTAACCTGAATTCAGAGCGAATTCTATCTGTCTCTTTCTAGTCTCTTTTCTTATTGTTTGATTAAATTACACTTTATTCAATAAACGAAATTTAAGAAAATCTAAACGAGAGATAAAAAACGGTTTTATCTGCTCTACTTATGCGTCTCATTTACAAATATTACAAAGTAAACCAAGATAAAGCTGCGATAAAGACTCAGTTGATAGAAATTCCAGCCCATTTGAACGTTTTCCCCACAAAATTAATCTAATCTTAAACTTTGAAAACGCTTTCTGTTAGAGTAGTATGAAATTGTAGAAAATATTCAAATAAGACTTTGCTCTTCAAGTCTTTCTATCCACTGCTTTGAATGTGTACAAACCAAAATGTGAATGATCTGTTGGCCGAAACTTTTCCAAGTCGTTTGCGTGGCCATCAACTCCATATCCATATTTTGTGAGCTTACCTTATGTGGAAGTGAACACCGATTTCTTTTTGGTGATCTTTCCGCCATTTAAAGCTTGAAAATGTCGAAAATATTAATCAAAACTTGCAGATATTATAGCGAAGAAACACTTGAAAGTGTCCACCATCTTGAATTTAGCTGAGAGACCTGGCCCTTGACAAAGGAAGCCCAAAAATTTTAAAACCACAGGGATCAGGCGGGATTTTGAGAGCGAAGGATCGAAGCTTAAAGCTATAGCTAAGCAAATCAAAACAAAAAAAACAACTATTAAATGAAAGTAGAATAAAATCTTAAAAAGTTTAATAAGAGTTTCTTGTTCGTAAGAGACTCGAATTCCAAGTGCCGCTGAAAACTATGCATGACGATGTCATAGGTCGGTTGTTAAGAATGCAAATATTTGGATTCCCAACCTTCCGATATGTATTCACTCAATAGCGAACATCTTTATTAGCTTGGATCAAGCTCTCAACGTTTATTTCAAGGACACCAGGTTGTTAGAGAGATGTTTAGTTAGGTCTAAACAAGATTTTAAAAGAAATACAAACATGACGGTACCGATTTTTTGAGCAAAGATTTTGCGAGTTAATTTATTTGACTGTGTGAAATCACGAGTCTGTTGTGGAAATTTGGATTATGTTGGTTGAGGGTTTATATAATATTATGATTGTGGCGAGTGGGATTCTTGTGCGAATAGAATAACTTGTTCTCCTGTGCTTCCATTTTTTTCTACGATCCTCATCATCCCCCCGGAAAATGTGTTACGAAATTCAATTGCTTTCTGTGAATGAAGACCAACTCTTAGTATATAGAAGAAGAAAAAAAACATTATTCAATTCAACATAAGAAAAAGTAAGTGAAAAGCTATTTACTTAACAGTCATTACAGCCGTTCTGAGTCACACGCAAACATCAAAATATTGATCTAAATAGAAGGAGATTGAGTTGTGGTAGATGACAATCAATTTTAAAAGAGAAAAAGCGGACAAAATAAGGTCTGGAAGACTGAATTTACCGACCCTAAATTTGACAGGCGGATTTACACTCAAAGTCGATCCTGTTGCGTGGTTGTATATTCGGGAGAAATAGGTAAAGTTTCCGTTATTCGTTTAATTTAGAAAATCGAATTAAAGTTGTTTTAATCAAAATAAGAAGGGGATGGCGAAAAAGACAAACAAAAAAATTCCTTACCTAGATTTATAAAGCACGTATACAGTGAAAATAGGACAGATAAAGATTGTGACGCCAAAGTGATATCAGTTATCTTTAGTTTTTGGTAACTTATATGATAAGCTTTTCTAAAACCAGGAAATATAATTGGAAATCCTCTAAAATATATGACATTAGCATATGAATGAAATAGGCTTATCATCCAGTCACGTGACTTCAAAACAGACCATCCAAGTCAAATCAATTTTCCACTAATTATGATCATCTTTTTTCATCCTCTAGTACCTTTAGTAAAGGGATGTCATTGGTTTCGTTTTTTTCGTTTCTTTTTTTTTTTTTTTCTTCTTCTTTGAAAGCGTGGAAACGTGTAGGGAAATTCAAAGTTAAAACCCTAATTGTAATGTTAATTCTTATCCCTTTTTTGAACACTGTTGATTTAAGCTTAATTGAACGTTCATCATTGGTTTATCTCTGTCAGTCACTTACCTTAATTCATCCTTCATCCTATAAAAATTTTTCCACGCAGTTTTAGCGATTCTCAAAATCTACTCATTCCACTCGGCAAGAGGTGGGAAGCGCCACCGATACTACGGGTAAGAAGCTTAAACATATAAATTTAGTTTTAAGATCTAATTTCGACCTGGCATCGTAAAGCGTTGTAAAGTCACAACCCAATGACCTGAGAGTTAAACGTGTTCGTCTTAAAAAAGAGGCATTTCTTAGAAACAAGTGTGCGTTGAATTTGGAGTCCGGTTGATTGAAGGCGAGTTGATTTGCCTAAGGTAAGCCGACTGAGAACTAACGAATTTTCTTGAATCCTTCAATGTAGTTGGTCATCTTAAGCTTCAAATAGTTTTTTCGATCTTTTCGATTATTTAGAAAAAATCCTATGATAGGTATCCCTTTTTAACCCAAGATCGAGCAGCTCTCGATTCGAAGGTTTAAATTTGGATGGATTAGAGCTTGTAGCCAGAATAAGTCTCCATTATGTGTAGTGTATACTAGCCACTTTGGCAGCAGAAAAAAGTGATGGGAGCGAAGAAAATTCGAAAATATGTTCAGTTTAAAAGGTTTAGGAATAAACATTACATATACAAGGACAACGACGCGGAAAGCAAAATAGAAAAGGTTGAAATAACTTAGATAGGCRTGGGATGATTTTAGTTGAATTTTGTGTGATTCATCACGAGAAGACGAAGAGAAAGAAAAGATGATTTGAAGGTCGGAAACAAATTTCGCACCAATAATATGCATCGACTGCGAGGATGTGGGATTGAATGTATATGGGTATGCTTTTTCTTGATAGAAAGGAGAGGAGGAGAGAGGAGAGGAGGAGAGAGGAAAGGAAAGGAAAGGAAAGGTAAGTGAAGAAACGTTAAGTAAAGAAAAGCAAGGAAGATGATAAGCAAATCAAGATAAAGGATGAGAAAAAGAAACGAAAGAAAAGACAAGTATAAAAGGAAAGAGAAGAGAACTACACGAAACGAAACAAAACAAAAGCGAAAGGAAGCGAAGCGCTAAGTACACTGCAAACAAAACCGTGCAAATCAAACTGCAAAGCAAAGGAGAGGCAATAAATAAAACACGAACCGTTAATATAAAATTGTAGCAGAAGCAGGATTATTGACAGATTATGATTACGACATATTTGAGATACTTGACGGATTTGCTGGCGCTCGTAATTATGGAAGAAAAAATTCCTTTTTCCGAAAACTTCCATACGAGAGAAGATAATTATCGATAACTTAATCTGATCAGAGGCTTATTGGCTAATAAAACAAACTAACTACCGGTAGTTACATTACACTATTACGCTGTCTGATTGGTCGAAAGACTTGTGTGTGCGCGTGTATCCTACCATAATTACGTTGTTATTAAATTAATTTATCACTTGAAGAAAAATCTGGAAGGTGTTGAACGTAATACAAACTGTACTGTTCTAAAAACGTCCAAGTAAATATTTATATTTAAAATCAGTCTAATTAAGTGAGATCACATAACGGTGTTAGTTAGTGAAAGTAGATGGAATGATAAGAGTATGAATACTGATAAACGTTGTTAAATAAAAAATAACGGTTGTGATAAAAATATATTTGTGGAATTAGGGCAAGACTAGAGTTCAGAATCTATTATTTTCGAGCCTTTATCCCTCTCCCTCTCCCTCTCATTCCTTTCTTTGCTTTAACTTTCAATTTTCTTCGTTAAAATATGAAACAATATATATAGCTAACAATTCATGAATGTTTTTTCCGGCCTATCCTTAACAAGCTGTCGGTGAATATTTACCCATAACAGACCACGTTTCATTTCCTAGAGTATCGTTTCTTTGTTTAACGGTTGCGCATGAGAAGACACACACTGAAAATGGACAAACAAAGAATCTTATTCCCAGGAGAATGGCGTGTGGTCTGAAATGGTTAGTCATTGCATCCAGACGAATTAGATCTATTCCCAAAGTACTTTATAACTCTACACAGAACAGCAAGCAGGTTTTCGAATTCTTTTATATACAATTTACAAAAACCCTCCCTGTTTTGTGTAAGAAAGTACCCAACTGAAAGGGCAAATGCGCGCTGTGTGTTTTCATAAAGCACGTGCTCCCAACCAATCAGAACGCGAGATTTAAAATAACAATTATTCTATAGTGCATGATATTAATATGTTCATAAGGAAGCTTAGTTCTAAAAAAAATCTATTTCTAATATTGGCTTAGTATTTTTATTTCAGAGTGAATTTAAATATCTTAAACCTATGAARTATTATGTTATTAATATAAACCTCTTCTCTTTTGACGTAATGTGTTTCCGTTCAGACCATATGTCATTCTCTAGAATATCTTTTTTTTTTTTCTTTTACAATCACACGCGTGAAATCGTACAATTTGCCATCTTGACGAAGTAGGTTTTTGTGTGGACGTCAATCAATATGCGTTTCCATGACATTCCATAGACACGTGCCCTTAAAAACTTTGTGTTTTCCGACAATGCTGGGAAACACTTTGATTGGCGTCCACTAAAGCTCTATTATGTCTCGAATTTATTTTTTTACGATTTCGCGCGTGTGATTGAGAAGCGCTGTAACAGTTCATACATGTAAAGCCAGCACATGAATATGAATACAACTCAAACAAAAAAATCTCATCCTCAAAAAACTTACACGTAGTCTGAAATGGGAAAACAAAATTACATTACTGCGGTTATCGATATTCTGTGAACTCCGACATCAACGGCTAGCTGTGAAATTGGGTTTTCGCTGCCGCCAGTCAGGAACATAAAAGGTACCGACTGATTATTTTTGATTGACGGCAGCGAAAAAACAAATTTGAGCGTGCAGCTCGCAACTACCGAGTTCGCAGAATACCGAAAACCGCAGTAAGATGAAGAGGTCTTTACGCTCACTATAAATAAGGGCGTTTCATAAGTGTTAATTATATAGAGGAGTGCATAGCACTAGTATGCTTTTTTGAGATTGTACTCCTAATCGTAGATTATTTTTTATTTCAGAGTGAATTTGTAATTCAAGTGGCGCCAGCTTGACTATAACTGAAAGGATCTTAAGTTATATTTAACAATTAGGTATTTATAGATAAAAACTACACGTTCCTGGAATACGAATATCACATTCAAGATGAACTCAACAAGATTGTGTGCCAACTTCTTGCTAGCAAAATCCACCGACTCTGAAAACTGGGGATCGACGTATGAGATAATTGTTTGCACAGTCAATTCCCTCCTCGTTGTCCCGACAGTCTTATTCAACATAATGGTCATTGTAACCATCATAAGGACACCAAACCTACGAAAGCCTTCCTACTTTTTAATGTGCACTCTGGCATTTACAGATTTGGGTGTTGGTGTCATTGTGCAACCGCTGTACATACTGCGTAAAGTATCCGCGTTGCAGAAGGATTATAATTTGTATTGTAAACTTTTACAGGCCGGAGATATCCTGGCGCATTTGATCTGCAGTCCGTCATTCTTTATTGTCACTGCTACAAGTGTGGATCGCTATTTGGCAATAACTATGGGGATCAAATACAGACAGATTGTGACTACTTCGAGGATTATGCTAACAGGTTTAGCAGCGTTGTGCTTTGCAGCGACCATTACATCTATTCGAATCGTCGCAAAGAAAGAAAAATACATGGCGTTTGCTGCAGTAATCATGTTTTTCTGTCTATTGATAATAACGTATTGTTATTCAAAAAGCTTAGCAGCGCTCAAAACATTACAAACTAAAGTCGGTGTAGCCAGCACTAATCCAAGGCCTCAGGTTAAAAACAAGAGTTTTGATATCGCTCAATACAAGAAAGCGCTTGCCACAATGGGCATCATCACTACAATATTATTTTGCTGCTATATTCCATTCGTTTCAGTGGTGATTGGAATCGCAATAAACGGACGAAGTGCCGTACTGAACATTGCAAGAGAGATAACCTTTACACTTCTATACGTAAACTCGTGCCTGACGCCAATAATTTATGGCTGGCGAAGCAAGGAGCTTAAACAAGCTTGCTTGCAGATGATTGTTGGAATGTGGAAACGAAATCCGCAATCGAATTTAGAAGTGACTGAGAATGAAAACATTACTCTGCCGAGTTGAAACGAAATGATTGAATGACAATTCGTTGCCACTAGTCTACCTCGCAGCCGTTCTTGGTGTCGTCACGCTACGCTTCCTTCACATTTCGTTGCGCCATCTTAAAAGGTAGCCGTGCCTTTGCATTGAAGCGAGATGAACGGTGAGCTTGCAATATGATAGATCTTTAAACATCTTGAACAATTATTCACATGTCTCTATCATTGCAAGCTCACCGTTCGTCTCGCTACGATGCAAAGGCACGGTTACCTTTCAAGATGGCACAGGGAACTGTGAAGAGGCAAAACCTGTTAGACATCACGCCATCCACCCAGGAGTGGTAAACGCATTATATAGAACTAGAAGGAGTACAACAAATGATACGATACAATAGACTTTATTAAACCCAGTGAGGCCTCTAACTTACGGCCCTCAACAACTGTGAACTTTGAAATGAAGCTGTGCAAACGAAGTATATATGAATTCAAAAGAAAAACACCTAAAACTTAAGAGAAAATACAAGCTTCGAGAGGGGAAAACATGCTACAAGTTGAAAGCTGTGTGCGAACGAAGTAAGAATTCAAAAGTGAAATGGTATATAAGAATTCAAAAGAAAACACCTAATACTTAACAGAAAATATAAGCTTCGAGAGGGAAAAGCATGCCACAAGTTCAAAATATGGCCGGAAGGGAACAATAGCTTCTCTAACTTCAATGATCTCAATATCAACCATCCGATGGACAGCTGTTGACAATACTAACTATTCCTTAAAGCTGAGATCAGAAAAATCTCGGCTTCTAAAAACTAACAACAAAGAAGTTGCATTATGTGACGTAAAACCACGAATTGGGGACAACGTTGGCAACACACACCATTCCCTTACTCTTTTTTTTTTTAATGGCCTTAGCGCTCTCTCGATATTTAATGACGGGTTTTGAAGCTGTGTGAGGGTACTTCAGTAGTCTGAATGAAGATTAGCGTCGTAGTAATAGATTTTATAGAAAAAATACTGTACATCTGGTTGAATTAGCCTTTCCGAGGTTGAGCTAAAAAAGAAATGTGTCGAGTTAGCATTTGATGCAGTGTATTGTGGCGCTGTTTTAGGAGATATATTTCCAAGATGGCGTCTATTTTGATCCTCTGGGACAATCCCACAATGCACTGCAATGCCAACTCGACCCATTTTTTTCTCCTCAATCTCGAAATAGCTAAATATAGACTTAGAGCTGTTTCCATGTTTCTGCGATGTGGTGACTCCTAGACATTTTGTTTTGTTTTGTTTGTTTTTTCATCAAATGTGGTCAACCACATTAAAACACCTGTACATATTCTAAATATTCTCCACATATGTATACTGTATGTTAAACACTGGTGCGGTCATGGTACTAGATAAATTTAGTGATTTTCCCTTGAAAAGTTTTTGCGTGAACATGTGCAAAATACTAAGTAGTTGATAATACTGTGCCTACTGCAGTTTTCGCATGACTGTGAAACGTCGATGCCGCATGCGTGCCTTGTTTCAACATTGGTGTTTTTCTAGAATTTTAATAGGCTTATTTTTTCTCGTGCTATGTGATTGGTCTGACAGTACCGTGACTTCAGAGGCGTGACCGTGTCCCCACCGTGTTTTAGGTATTTGATTGGATGGAGAGTCAATTCTCGTGCAATGTGATTGGTCTGGTAGTGCCGTGACTTCAATGGCGTGACCATGTCCCCACCGTGTTTTAGGTATTTGATTGGATGGAGAGTCAGTTCTCGTGCAATGTGATTGGTCTGGCAGTGCCGTGACTTCAATGGCGTGACCATGTCCCCACCGTGTTTTAGGTATTTGATTGGATGGAGAGTCAATTCGTGCAATGTGATTGGCCTGGCAGTGTGGTGACATTTAGAAACTCGTGTTCGCGCCGCGCGTGTTTATGTCGTTAACATTTTTCGGGTATTTCATTGAATGGAGAGTAAATTTTCGCGCTATGTGAATGAGGACATACCCTGCCGTGTGACGACGGTGTTCGTGCTGCGAGCTTTTCACAGTCATACGAAAATTACTCTATATACATATATAAAGGGCAATGTTTAGGGCTCAGCCACTTCAGGACTGAGTTGTAGACTAGAAGGAGTAGAAGTTTGGACAGATAAATAAATTCTAAAGAACATGCGTAATAAGTAAATTACGAGCCTTAGATGAAACGACTGAAGAAGAGTGCCATACAAGCCTTTCACAACTTCAAGTCGCGTAAAAAATGAGCCAGCTCAACTAGAAACTGTGTCCACAATTTCTAGTTGAGCAGGCTCATTTTTTACGCGACTTGAAGTTGTGAAAGGCTTGTATGGCACTCTTCTTCAGTCGTTTCATCTAAGGCTCGTAATTTACTTATTACGCATGTTCTTATTTGATATCCGAACCCATCCCACACGGCGCACTGCCACACTTAAATTCTAAAGAACTAAGTGACCACATTAAAGGAATTATGTTAGCTTTGGAGCTCGTGACCTGGTCTGCTAGAAAATTTAAAAAAAATAAAATCACATTACGCATGCTCATAATGATCGTCCCTCAGGCAAGTGCATCTCGTTCTAGCAAACACACAGTTCATTCATCACTGCGATGTGACTTAATATTAGAGATATTTGAGGACAAAATCCAGGATTTTACTTCCAGAGGTCATGAGTACTGTAGCAAGTAGCCCCTCCCCTGTAAATTGCGTCCAGTGAGACGGCATTTAACGAGAAAAAAAAAAGATTACTATTTCCTGATGAACAAATTCATTTGTTAAGAATTAAAATCCCATTTACAAAGAACAAGGTAGATTTTGATCATAAAAGTGCACTTTGCAAAACCGAAAGGATCTTCAAAGTAATCTATCCGCTATCTGATCGTTAGTAATTCGTACAGATTTTTTCTAATTTGTAAAATTACGCTGTGTTCCTTGATTACAGATTCATTTACTCAGGGTTAGCCTCGTATCAGTGTCGAAATATTCACAAATACCAACGGTAAAGTAAAGAATGCACAACTTCAACAATACAAACACTTTGAAATTCCACGGACCTTCACTGGAACACATGAATATTCTACACAAAATGGAGGCCAACCCTGAGCAACAGTGAACTCGAAACTAGAGCTAGTATTATTAGCAATTCCAAGGTTGATGAAAAGATGTGGAGTTGCCAATGCAGTGCATTGTGAAGCTGCTTTAGGGTACATATTTCCAAGATGGCGTCATTTTCGTTCCCTAAAACAGCCCCAGAATGCACTGCGATGCCAACTGGACCCAGTGCTTTTCTTCAATCTCGGTAATAGGATCCTCTATCTAAATCTAGGACGTATAATTGACCATATGTGGTCACCTTTTGTCTTATTTTTTCTACCGTAAGACTAGTGCATGACGGATCAAGTAAATAAAAAAATCTATAATTCGTTTGGAAGAAAGATATACGATAGAGTGATCACATTAAATCCGTGAAACACTAATTACTAAATAGTACAAAATAGTGCTAGTTAAACAATAGAAAACCATGGAATTTGCATGAAATTGTGCTATTTAGTATTACTAAAGTTTCACGGATTTACTTTGGTCACTCTAGTCTAAAATCTATATTTTTTCTATCTCCTGTGAGATGATTTGACAAGCTATTGGTTGACCATATATGGTCATCTGCATTAATATCTCTGGTCTCTTGCAAGACTAATRCAAATAATGTTCGCTAATTGCAAACGACCTTCTGCATAAAAATCATAACTCTTATCTTGGTCTAATATGAAACATGAATAATTAGTATAGACCTACTAATTAATGATTTGTCACAAGTCCTGAGCTCTGATTGGTCTCCGAGCTACTGGTGGTTTATTAGTCATAGACCAGTCGTAACAAAAAGTGCCGGTTTCGAAAACCAAAAAATAAAATAAAATAAAATAAATTATTTCAAACTAATTTAAAAATTGTTTGCATCCAGTTTTGGACTAATTACTAGGTTTACGCTAAATCAATTAGGCCTCTCGCCTCATGGTCTACAACTCAAAAGCCCAGTTAGCCTTCAGCCCCATGGGCTAATGACTCGTAGACCATTCGGGCTGAGGGTCTAAATTTTAAATAACAAAATAACATTATATAATGTTATCTTGTGGCATACTATAAAACATATACAGCCAATCAAAATACAGGAAAGCTATTGTACAAAACTTGGGTTTTGTAGGTGAATGAGGGAAAACAGAAAACATTAAAAAAGATAAACTTGAAACAATAGCGATCAACAAAAAAGCTTCAAAATTAGACATTTCGAGGTTGAGGAAAAAACAAGTCGAGTTGTCATTGCAGGGCATCGTAGAGCTGTTTTAGGGGACATATTTCCAAGATGGCGCCTATTTCGTCCCTTAAGACAGCCCTAAATTTCACTACAACGCCAACTGGACCTCGAATTGCAAATAACGGTAAACCAACAATAGGTTTTTCCAAAAATTGGAAACAAAAGACCACAAAAAAAATGTGCAAGTTAGCAGGTGCGCTGACCTTGGGTTGTTAGTATTTCAATCCCATGATGAACAAAAAAAAAACAATGAACAATTGTGACGTCATTTGCTAATGGTGCTTATAAACTTAACAAAAAAGTGTGCAAGGGATTCTGGTAGAAGTAGTAAATGACGTCATTATACGAATGGTCTTTTTTTATATCTATTGGGAATATATTAAGCGCTATAACTTTCACAATCATTGTTCTTCCCAAGATAATGACAAGTGGCCTGAAACATCTTCTTGATATGGTAATTCAAGTCCATGAATAGGCCATGCTAAGTCAAGGTTTGCCTAAATCACAACATCCCCAAAATACCAAAAAGTACTTTAAAACATAGTTACTATAAAATATTCATTCCTATAAGAACATTGTCGTAATGTTTTCTTATTTGAAACATACTGTTTTCCTTGTACATTATTTCTATCATTAGTTCATATTAAAATGATTAGCTATAGCTAAAAGATTCTATTCTATAAAAGACACCAACAAACAGTGCGTATCAATCACACGCGTGGGATTGTACAATTGCCTTTGCGGGAAAATACAGTTTTGGTGTAAGACAATGAAAGTGTTTCCACCATGACATTGTCGAAAAGCACAATCAAGAGCACGTGCGTATGGAATGTCATGCACACGCCTTGAAGAGCGTCCACCAAAGCTGCTACGTAGCGAAGACAATTCCGCGCGTGATATCGTTGGGTATCACTTAACGTCATTTCCTGTCTCGTGCGGAATGTTCATCAGCTGAATCGCAATAGAATTCGTTTTTGTTGACAGCATTTAGTGGTAAGTGTTTGACCACCATTTGTATTAAGCAGATAATGAGAATCAAATTTTTTATCAGCTGATTAAAACCCAGTAATTGAGGACGACTGTAAACTATAACGAAAAACGGAAACTTAATATTTGAAGACATTTTGCTAAAAAAGTATGAAAATGTCCCTTTGGACCTAGTTCATTCGGGTGTAATTCTTTTTCCCATTTCAGGCCACATGACATTCTCTCGAAAATATAGCCTTTGTTTGAGCTTCAACCAATCACCACATGACTTCAAGTTACCAAACAGTCTTATCGTAACCCAAGGGTAACTAAAGTAGATCTATATATCTATCTTACTGGTCAACAAAGGTATAATACTCAAGAGAATGACAAGTTGCCTGAAATTGGAAAGCTTTGGACTAAGTGTTTAATTATTTTAGTTCTACCATCTAATTTCCATTCTTCTGCTCATAGCCTTTTTTCGTTTGCAGGATAATTTGGAGCGCTTCCAGGATTCACTTCGGTGGCTCTTAGGTTTCGTTCCCACATCAGGATGTTATCATGGCCGTGAGCCCATTCACTGTCGTTGCCAATTATCAAATCCTTAGGAAACATTGTTTTCTTTTTGAGCTTTCGATACCGGTGCTGCAAGACAAAACGAATGGTATTTATATGAGGCCAGCTTAGCGTGTGCTCTTATCTATATTCTTGGTGTGGTGTCACAGCACAGCCGCCATTTTGGTTGACTTTGACAAAGTATTTGGCCTTGGTGTCTTTTGTCATGTCAATCAACATGGCGGCTACGTCTTTTGTCCTCTTATCTCATGGGAAGAGATGCGCGCCACGAATATGTGGAATATAGCTAGATTCTAGCTAAAGAAAAATATGTCATCCAACATGGCGGTCATGTCTTTTTATTCTCATGAGAAGTGATGCATGCCACTAATATGTGAATTATAGCTAGATTCTAGCTGAAGGGAAATATAATGTCATCCAACATGGCGGCCATGTCCTTCTTATTCTCATGGGAAGAGATGCGCGCCACGAATATGTGCATTATAGCTAGATTCTAGCTAAAGAAAAATATGTCATCCAACATGGCGGTCATGTCTTTTTGTTCTCATGAGAAGTGATGCATGCCACTAATATGTGCATTATAGCTAGATTCTAGCTAAAGGGAAATATAACGTCATCCAACATGGCGGCCATGTCCTTTTATTCTCATGGGAAGTGATGCATGCCACTAATATGTGCATTATAGCTAGATTATAGCTAAAGGGAAATATAATGTCACCCAACATGGCGGCAATGATTCTCATGGGGAGGGATGCACGCCACCAAAAACTTACTGAACATTACCCTACCATATGATGAAAATTGACCGAGTAGGCAATTGAAATTTAAGAAAGAAATCAAGATTAATGCAACTTCTTCAGGCTGCGTATTGAAGACGTTCTTGGGTTGATTCCGATCGGGGACGGAAAAAATATTCTGGTAGAAAAAGGGAGGAAAAGAGAAGAGAACGCCTTCCCGCAAGCATTGTCCTCTTGGAATGCGTATGCCTCTCTAATTATTATCATGGAAGGATTTCTCGCGCCGATGAAAAGCAATCGAGGTTGATGTTTGATATTTCTTGTCATTTATATCAATTCCAAAGAAGAGAAGTCTCAAAGACAAAATATGAGGAGAACTATGGAATTGTCATGGCAAACAGTTATGATTGTAGAGTATAAAGGAACACGCGAAGCCACTCAACACTTCCTACACATTGCTTCTGGCTTTCAGATGCTAGTAACTAAACAAAACAGGGGCAAACACAGCTAGGTTGGTTTAGTAGTGAGCGGCCTTCGAAAGTAAAGGTTCATGTTTCGATTCTCAGGATTTCCACGTCTGTTTCAACCGCTCTCTGTGATGTGTAGCTTTGGCTTTAAACACCCGTAAAAAGAAAAAAAAAAACACTTACGCATGTGCATATGAGTGCGATGAGCAAGATTAGACACAACCCTACGGCTGCCACCATAACGATGAAACTGATAAGGGTTCCACCTAAATAATCCATGATAACTTTATCCCAGATTTTTTTGCTGGATGAGGTCGTAGGTGCTGAAATATATAGAGGTAGAGAAAAATTCAAAAATATATATATATTAGAAGAAGAAAAAGGGTCTTCCTTTATTAGGAAACCTACCAAACTTGGATCCTCTCTTACTTTCTCATGTCCATTATCGCTTATAAAAATAGCCAATTTATTCGCATTATGGTGGGAATGGAGATATAAGAGGTTAGCCCTATCGTGAATAGTCACCTAAGATCGAATTGGAATTTAGAAGTTGATTTCCGGAGTGAGGAAAACCGAAGAAAGAGGAACTCTACTCACTTGCAACACCGAGTTCGTGATACGAAAATGGATCACGAGTCGTAATGGTGAGAGGGAAGCGTTCTCATCGTAACGTTAACGCCGCCCCTGCTGCCCTTCCCTTTCTTCCTTTCTTCTTTCCTTCCTTCCTTCCTTTCTTTCTTCCTTCCTTCCTTCCTTCTTTCCTTCCTTCCTTCCTTCCTTCCTTCCTTCCTTCCTTCCTTCCTTCCTTCCTTCCTNTTCCTTCCTTCCTTCCTTCCTTCCTTCCTTCCTTCCTTCCGAAAACTATTGCTTAAAATAAGCATTTTAATTACCTATAGTCTTTGGGGCTGCTGAAGTCGTTAGTGCTGCTGACGTTGAAGAAACTGAAAATGAACAAAAGTAAACAAAAGACAAACTGAGGTGAGATGTTTGGTACTTGAAAACAAATATTCCAAGAGGAATAGATTAATCATAAAAATGAAAGAATAGTAAAAATGTTCGAATGAAAAAATCAATCAATCAACCTTTATTAATGCGTCAATGTATTTAGTCTTAGAGACTAATTGGGGATACAAATAAATCATCAATAAATATATCTATACAATTACGGGGGAAAAAAAAGAAATTAAGCTAAAATTGCATCTACTAATAATTTCTAAAAGCTATAATAATAAGATGTAATTGAAAAAATGTATTAAAACCTAAATATAAAAAATAAAAAATGATAATAATAATAATAATAATTATTATTATTATTATTAAAAAATGACTTACGTACCCGATAATGTGCCGCTTGGAGATGGTGAGATGGTAGCTGAAACGTAATAAAGTAATTACAGACGTAACGATCATAATGCACAAAGCACCAMAATCAAACCGCAATAAGTATACAGACTTCAACTCACATATAAGTGATTAAATGATTTTATTATATAAGTACTGAGATTTACATGTTCGCAAGCTATTTGATAAAAATCATATCACAAAAGCGAGAAGCGATCCTATTGGCTATACGTTTTTCTTCACTAGTGAAGAACATCGTATCAGCACAGTGATTGGCTATACGATCATCGTATCGAGTTTTCCCGCGCTTTTTGCAGAAAGTGTCAGCTTGCTTTTGAGTGTTTGTTGTCAAAAATTCTTAAACATGGAAGGTTGTGCTCAAGATTTGCTCAAATCGACTCAATCACTGAGTTTATCGAGAGCCAGGAAAACGAAAACACTAGAAAAAAGACACAGAACGATGTGGCACTCCTAAGGGAATTTTTACAAACGAAAGGAGAGACGAGGGCTATAAAACAGATTCCTGCGAAAGAACTCAACGAATACCTCAGCGAATTCGTCCTCGGTGTCCGTAAGAAAGAATCAGCCAATGAAAACTACGAACCAAGCTCTCTACGGGCTTTTATAGCTAGTTTTGAACGATATCTAAAGAAGAAAAATTATTGGGTGAACATTTCAAAAATGCTGAATTTGAACAGACACGAAAAGCTTTGCAATCAAAGCAATGAGAACTCAAACAGAAAGGAAAAGGAAGTATTATATTTTTCGTGTGTTAGTCATTAGGTTATTTTTTGATTGGTTTTCACTTTAATATTGAAGAAGTACACAATTCTGATCTAAGTATACTTATATTTACAAGTTTATCACACTATTAGAAAGAGACATTTCTATTTCAGTTCGAAGCAATTGTTCGAGGTTCAATTTTTTCTCAACTCCAAGTTCAAAAAATCTTTACTTGTAATATCTCAGTACTTCTAAAATAGATAAATTACATCACGGTTAGTTCGCTTGTACGGTTTTTATTCACTCGTTGTGAAGAATCAAACGAACGAGCGAGTCTTCGAGCGAGTGAATAAAAACCGTACGCGCTCACTAACCATGAAGTAATCTCTATTTATTTACTCCTTTCAAAAGTAAAAGAGTAATATAAGTAATATAAGCCTATACAGATTAAACGCAAAAACTGCATTTTGCTTATCGAATTTCAAGGGGTATAATTCCATTTTCTACTAAATTCTGAGATAAAAGTCACTTTTGCTGCGTTTAACTTGGAAAAACGCAGAAGAATTCTGTATCTGATTAAATTACTTTATAAACAATCAATCTGAAGAATAATGATACATGAAAGCAATAGTCCCCTTCACAGTTCCATGTGCCATCTTGAAASGTAGCCGTGCCTTTGCATCGAAGCGAGACGAACGGTGAGCTTGTAATGATAGAGACATGTGAATAATTGTCCAAGGTGTTAGAAAAAGGTCTCTATCATTGCAAGCTCACCGTTCGTCTCGCTTCGATGCAAAGGCACGGCTACCTTTCAAGATGGCGCAGGGAACTGTGAAGGGGTCTATTGTTGCCAGTTGCTGTTTCTATATCCCTGTTCAATCTAATGCACTATCTTTGATTAAGATGCTTTATTAACACATTGCTTCTGTCCCATCGAGGTTCATGAGTAAATGGATAACACCAAGAAAATTATTGGCCAAAATCTCCGATACAATCTGGTCAAATCTCTTACACAGATATAGTTAGCCACTACTTACCATTTGTAGTGATGATAAGTGATGATGTTGTTGTAACTGTAAACAAACATAAGGTTACAAGATATTTAAAAACAAGATACAATGTATTCATATAAATTAATGAGAGTCTTGAAGCAATGTTAATTACAGTTTGTAGTTGATGATGTTGTTGCTGAAAATATGGATAAAAATAGATTACAAGAAACTTAAAAACGAGTTACAATGCACTTATGAAGTAATAGAAGTCTTGAAGCAATGATACTCACAATTAGATGTCGTAGTTGCAGTTGGTTTCGTAGTTGTAGTTGGTGTTTTAGTGGTAGTTGTAGTTGGTGTTGTAATTACAGTTGGTTTTAGTGTTGTAGTTGGTGGCGTAGTTGCATTTAGTGTTGTAGTTGTAGTTGTAGTTGGTGTTGTAGTTGTAAGTGATGCTGAAACAAAAATGGGTTACAAGCTACTTAAAAACAAAATACAATGCATTTCTAAAGTAATAAAAGTCTTGAAGCAATTTTTGTGTCCGTTTGGACCTAGACTATTAAGATCGGTGCTATTTTTACACAAATCTTCCTTCAATCCTCGTTATCTTTTATACTTACAACGTAGAATTTACTAATTGGCGGTAGATAACATGATTGTAAAACATCGTAGCTAGTCCCCTAGGTCTTCCCTGCGTCTTCATTCAGGGCAACGCCATCTTGTCTCCCTCCCCAGGGCACTATACAGGGGGCAGAGGGGGGCCACTTATTTTTCATTGTTTACGAAATTATATTGTCGCTCTGCCATCTTGTTTTATATTATTTACCGCTGTACATAATATGAATAAACTTGAGCCCGTCAGATACCGCGCGCGCTGTGCTGTGCCTTAGCTTATTACAGTGGATGATTGCTTGAAAAAATTGATAGATTTAACTCACTGGATTTACGCACAACGCGCAATCATCCAATGTCAGTTGTTGCTTTTATTTTGTTCAGACTTCTGGCGAAGTTTCTGCGCGATTTGAGGCCGTTTAGTGGGTTTTTTCAAAATCCGCTCTTCTCTACCTAAATCATTTTCACATTTATGGAGGGATGGGTGGATGGATGGATGGATACATGGTGTATGAGTGATGCATGTAGTAATTTGGTGGGATAGATGCATTAATGGATGAATGGTAGAATAAACATTTTACGTTATAGCTCACCACTTTTATCATCCAAGCAGCTGACCGTTACCATTCTACATAATGAACTCACAACAGTGGTTGTAGCGTTCCCTAACAGAATAGACAACAATCACATTCATTTAGTCTTAGCTTCATTCACAAAGCCTGTATTTTCAGTGGGTATAATCAGTCGGCACCTTTTACATTTTTGACTGCATGGCTGCAGTGAAAAAACTGAACAGATTCCAACGGGTAACTCGTAATTACGTAATTACTAAGCTTTCGAAATATTGAAAAATACAGTATAAAACCGGTTTTAAAAATTCTTTATCCCTTTCAATGGTTTTCACATTTTCTCTCTTTTCTGGTCTTTATTTATGCTGTTATGCCTACCAGATACGTTAACTGTTGCGCTATAATTACTGCACGATTGAACAGTACTGCATGGTTGAATAGAAGAATTTGGCGAGGTCGACWCATTCGCAGAACTTGGTGAGATCGTTGGACTCAGTGAAGAACTTGGCGTGAATGGTAATGGTGATGTACTAGTGGCTAAAATGTTTACAAAGAAAAATGGGTTCATTATTTGGCTCCAGTTATGGACGGACCATTAGATAATTGAAGAGGGGGTTGCGTAAATCCTCCAAAAAATATTGAGCAAGCACTTAATTCACCTACGAAAAAAATTACACTCAACCTCTCCTTTCAGTAATGAAGTACGATCGAGCAAACGCTAAACAAAATTGTGTGCAGGAGTTGTCATGAAAAAATAAATATTGTGCAACATTAGTTCCTGCAAACCCCCTCCCCCCCTGTCAATTATCTAATGGTCCATCCACAGGCAGCCCAAACAAGGTTCCTGTGTATGGTTTATAAGGGAATGTATGGGAATTATGATAAAGTTACGAAAATAAAATGTTTCACTCAACAATTTGCTTCAAAACTTGTTGCAGTCGTTGCTTTTACTTTGTTCAGACTTCTGGCGAAGTTTCTGCGCTATTTGAGGCCGTTTAGTGGTTTTTTTCAAAATCCGCTCTTCTCTACCTAAATCATTATTTGAAAGTTTTGAGGCAAATTGTTGAGTGAAACATTTTATTTTCGTAACTTTATCATAACTCCCATACATTCCCTTATAAACCATACACAGGAACCTTGTTTGGGCTGCCTGTGGATTCCCAAACCAGATTCCGGAATAAATGTCACTAATACAATTAGATGACGTTGCAAATGTAGTTTGTGACGGTGATACTTAAAAAAAAAGTAATTTCAAGGTTTAGCATCTTAGAAACTTGTTCAAAGCCATGCATGACCCTAACAATTTTCATTGAAAAAATTCATCTTACTTACGACAGGGCAGAAAAACGATTTTTGGCCTTTCGCCATAAGGACAGCTTTACGTATTTAAACTCAATATTTTGTAAACACGTTCTTTTAGAGCCAAATAGCAAAATATCAAATGCGACCAAAATTTATTGAATGCGTATTTAAGATATAAAGCCGTGTACTTTGGGAGAGGTGATATTTTGATCAGCAGAAAAACTGACATTTTCGTGATTACTAATAAGTAGATTTACTATAATTCGACAAAATTTCGTCACAAGTTTCGAGCAGCAGTGACACAAATGAAACGCTTAAAAAATTAGAGTATTAAACTCAGTTAAATAAAAAAAAATACCGTGAAAGTAGCGGGCTTTTCGTTTTTCTGCCCTGTCCTTACTTACAGCTTGTAATTGCACTAATCAGGTGATGGTGAAAATGTCAATAAGACTAGATTACAAGATATTTTTGAGAAATTAATTTCAAGGTTACATCTATTTTCGCATTATATGAGCTGTTTCTTGAAGCAATGAAACTGGTAATTTTTAGTTCTTTTTTTAAAGCAATACCTTTTGGTAGTATCCATTTACAAACTTAACTTTGTTTATTTTGTGTCTCCCTCCC